GAAGCTGTCTGCAGCCTACACAGCGCCGGTTTGATTCCGGGCCAGCCAGGGAGAATCCCACATGGCGAGGCAGACCTCTCCTGACTCGCCCACTGCTCCCCTCAGCAGTGCCCTCAGTCCGTCTGCCTGTTCTGCTCCCCGCTCTGTCTCTGGTGAATTCTCTCACCCTCCCAAGACTCTGGCCTGTACCCCAGCTCTTGTATAAATAAAAATAAATCTTTAAAAAAAAAAAGTGTGGAGATGAACACTGCTAGTTCATTGGCAAATCAAATGAAATACTGAGATTGAGTAAATTTCATTCAAGAATTTGGTTTTAGGACTTTTATCTACCAGGTTGTTGTACCTATTGTACATTGCTACACAACACTGTCCATGACTGGGGTGTGTGAAATAGAAGGATTCTGCAACAAAGACTCCTAAAAGATGAGCAACAAATCCTCCAAGCCATTCCAGTTAAAATTTGTGACATACTTAATCTTATATTCTGTTGCCATAGTGCTTAGGTTAAATGTGTAACTAAAGAAAATGGATTTCCACTGCAAATCTTAATTTTTATTGTGCCCTGCAGTGCTACATGGACGATGCATGTGTGGTAAGTCTCACATTTAGATGATTCCAGGGAGAGTTTTGAGAGTTAAAGTATTATAGTCTCTGTCAGTGGTTATTAAGATAATTTATTTTCTGTAGATGTGTATCATTTTCTTAAAGAAGTGACTTTATGAATGCCCTTAGGCACAAAATAAACAGCTTTCTGTTTCAAAAGCAGTATGCAATTTACATGGGTCTTATCTGTATTTCCTAAAAAGGAAAACAATATTCATCTTGAAAAGTATAAGCTTTAAGTTCAAAATACAAATGCTTGTTCCTCAATTGTTTTAATGCCTCATTTGATTTAAAAATCAATTTCACAGTAAAGTTCACATTTAGAATTCTTAAGAACTTATCTTTATTTAAAAAAAATCAAAACAAAAATACATTGGCAAACAGATCCCATCACTGGCAGTGTTTGGTGGGTGGGAGAAGGGAACTGACCAGGTCTCAAGGCCAATATATCCCAGCATTCTTTGCAAAAAGGTAACATTTCTTTCTGAACAATTGAACAGGTTTTTTTTGTGTGTGGTTTTTTTCTTTTTTCATTATACCTGTGCTATTGTGATTTATAAGAAATAGATACTTGGTCTTTACTCTGTTCCAGGTCATGTACTACTAAAGCTCTTGAATTACTCTTAGTGCTGAGAACATACAAGATGTCTTTTGTTATGTGAGGGAGCTGACTTTTGGACAGCCCCCAGGTAACCGAAGGATGGGAAATGGTTGCCAGTGGAACCAATCCTGATCTAAGGGTTGGAAATTTCAGCCCAATCCCCCAACCTTCTGAGTGGAGAGGGGCAGGAGGTTAAATAATCACCAGTGGCCAATGATTTAATCAATCATGCCAAAGTAATAAAGTCTTTATAAAAACCCCAAAAGATGATAATCAGAGAACTTCTAGGTTGCTGAGACAGCAACTGTGTGTCTGGCCTCAAAGTCCATAGGAGCTTCAGTGGGGACTTCACTCTCTGTAGCTCTTCATCTGGCTGTTCATCTTTATACCTTGTCATCTCCTAAGCAAACTGGCAAATGTATTTCCCTTCATTTTGTGACTCACTCTGGCAAGTTAATTGAACTGGGGAGGGAGGGTGTCCTAGGAACTTTGCTTTATAGCTGGTTGGTCAGAAGCACAGGTGACCTGGACTTGCATCTGGCATCTCAGGTAGGGGCAGTCTTGTGGAACTGTGTCCTTAACCTGTGGAATCTGATACTATCTTCAGGTAAATGGTGTCATAATGGAGTTACATTTGTAGAATGCCTGGTGGTGTCAGAGAATAATTAATTGCTTGGTAATGTGAAAAAACATAAAGGGTTTTCTTCCCCCCTATATTATATGACTTTAAGTTCCCTTAAACCTGGGAGTTAATGGGGCAGATTAACCCCCAAACATGTTTTAGCTATACAGAACTTGGGGATTCAGTGTATTTCATCTATCTTGGTTGGAGTACCTTTTGGCAGGTGAAGTTTTCAGTTATATTGACTTCATCATGTCCCCGCATCTTATACTTGGCACAATTAACTCATTGAGGAGAAAGACAGGCCTCCCCAAGCTGTTCAGATAGGTTTCCCCAAGATGTGTCTCTTTGGCATGTGGATTATTTCAAGCTGAGGTCAATTGAAGCCCTGCAGTCTCATGAGAAACTTTCAACATTCCCTTAACAACCTAGAAGAATAAAAATTCGGGCTATTATCCCAAATTAGGATTTTTATCAGAAATAAACTATCTGTTGGAGAAATTATCGATATGGTAGGGCAACCATCTAATGAAAGAGCTTCTGTTCTCCATGAATCACCATCTCCACATCAAGTGAGTCCATCTTCTCCCTCCATCCTTTACACGGGAAATACACCCTCATTTTGCCCAATTTGCTTCAGAATTTACATCTATGTTGATTATCCATTCATATGCAATTTTTTCCTTTTCTCTTACTAATCTATCTGATGTTAATTTGATTGCATGACCAGCCAAGGAAGAACCCAGAGGGGGTAAATTTCCTCTTTACCTCTATGTTTATAAAAGGAAAAAACTATTTCCTTCTATTCTTTTCTGGTACTTCTATGCAGGTTTTTGCACACCAAACAATTCTTCAATTCTTGGTGAACACTGACTGGGTATCCTACAACTACAATCCTATTAACTTGATTCAGACCCTGGGTCAGAGCAGACTTCACAATTCAATTCTCCTCTGACACTGACTAGTGTTGTACAAATTTACCTCAATTATGACCCTTTACCTGGTGCTAACATCAGATTCCACAAGGTAAGGACACAGTTCCCCAAGACCATCCCTTCTTCAGACCCCCAATAGCAAGCCCAGCTTGTCATTCATGCTCCTTTCCACAACCGCTTCCTTGGATTTGATAATTTGTGAAAACAATTCACAGATCTCAGGAAATTGTTTAACTTACTATTACCACTTTATTATTAAGGATACAACTCAGGAACAACTAAATAAAGATGCATAGGGCTAGGCATGTAGGAAGGGGGGACAGCACTTCCAGGTCCTCTCTGGGCTTCTCCATGTGGTCACCAACCTAGAAGCTCTCTGAATCCATTGTTAGGGCTGTCATGAAGCCTTCATCACATGGGCATGATTGCTGAAATCTTTGGATTGAGGAAATCATTCAGTAATTAAGTCAATCATTCTCCTCCCTGGAGGCAGGGGGTTAATACACATGCTGCCCAAGAGAGCATGGTATAATTCTTTTAACATCATCATTGTTTATTTTCTTCCTCTTTTCCTTTTAAATATCCTGATGATTCTGTTCCTTTTGCTCATATAGTTTTCTAATTGATTTCCTTGGTTTATATAGAACAAGCAGAGATTTTAGTTATAAAGATCCAAAGGCTTCATTGATGATGTGTCATAGATGCGTCACAGAGAGGGAAAGAATGAAATTAGTGTTGAAATCCAGCATTTTAGTCAGAAGAAGAGGGTGGAAAAGGATGAGATTGATTTGTATATTGGAGAGAAAAATAAGAGTTTCTTCTATCACTACCACCACATGATAAAGGGCATTTTAACTTTATAAAAATGAAGATATTTAAAAATTAATATCTTCAGTTTTATGAAAAATTCACTAGATGCCAGTAATTTTTTCTTTATATTTTGTAGTGAATTGGTGAAGATGACTGGCATTTAGAGATAGTTACTATAGATAATGGAAGCATTTTATTTTTCAGAAGCTCACTGTAGCACTCATGTAGAGAATAGATTGAAAAAAGTTGAAGACACAAAACTCATTAGAATGGAAGTTGTTGAAGAATGATTTCAATTTGGATAAAGTTGAGGGATATAGATCTACAAGTGCTGGACCTTCCTCCTGGTGTAGGGATTAAGTCTGAGGGCTAATATGCTATCACCATTGTGGCCTAAGTTCTATGCCTGGCCAGGGAGTTACCCACATGGCACAGCAGGCCTCTCCTGTCTTGCCCGCTGCTCCCTCTGCAGTGTATTTCAGTCAGTCTGCCTGTTCTGCTCCCCACTCTGTCTCTGGTGAATCCTCTCACCCCACACCTCTGGTTACACCCCTGTTCTTGTATGCATTAATAGAAAAAAATAAATCTAAGAAAAATGATACAACTGCTGATGGAACAGCTGGAAGTTGAGGATGATCTTTCTAATGTCAGTAGTATAAATGACAGAAACATTTACTGAGAATTAAGTGTTCAAGTATATATATATATTTTAGGATTTATTTATTTATGCATACAAGAGCTGGGGTACAGGCCAGAGATGCGGTGGGGGTTGGGTGGGTGAGAGGATTCACCAGAGACAGAGTGGGGGACAGAACAGGTTGACTGACTGAAATACACTGCTGAGGGGAGCAGCGGCCGAGACAGGAGAGGTCTGCTGAGCCATGTAGGTAGCTCCCTGGCCAGCCTGGGATGAAACTCATGCTGCAGAGGCTGCAGATTGCTTCATAGTGCTGTGCTTAACCCCTTGCACCACCAGTGAGGCCCTGTTCAAGTATATTTTTTGAAGAAAGCGATAGATAATTTGATGAGTTCAAAAATGGCATCTAGTGGGTATACTACCCATATTCAATTCGCTGAGCTTCAGAGGCGGCCTGTCTCGCCAATATGCTATCTTTACTTAGTTTTACTTAACATGATTTAGGAGACCACCCTTCTCTGAAAACTTGGTTGCAATAAAAGTATTGAGGCATTCGTAATTTGCAAATATATGTCACATACTGTCAAAATATGACAAAATAACACACTATCACTATATCTGACATAATATTAATATATATTTTAAATACTATCTTCATCGATGAGATCATGATTTCCTTAAAAGCAAAAGTGCCTCCTACTTTGTACAAAGGCAGACAGTTATTTTGTAGAATAGAGATCACGCTTGGAGACCACATTACCTGTACCATGGGGATAACCATGTGCAACTCACAGGATTCTAGCGGATATGTCAAGTCGCTATGTAATGTCTGTAGCAGGAAAAGGGAGCGAGCATTGTCGAGGTAGCAGCACCGCCTTCCCCTCACCGCTTCGGCGCCCGGCGCGGTGCGCACACAGGAAACTAGTAAAACGCTCGTGAAATGAAAGTAGAACGTGGAGCACGAAAACGGCTCATTTTCGAATTCCAAATTCCTGGAAAGCGCCGACCTATCAGCGGCTGGGAACTGAAGTGTCAATAAAGTTTTGTTCATCAAAATAAAAAAAAAACACATTCCCGCCTCCCCTCGGAAGACGAGTCGCCACGCGGCTGGCCCGGAATCCGGAAGTGCAGTGCGCTCGTCCAATCACGCCGGCTGTTGTAGGCAGCGGCGCCAGGCTGGCCAATCCCGGGGAAGCTCGCCCGCGCTGGTCCCGCCTCCGCGCGACGCTGACGGGGCGCTGGCGGGTACGGCGGCTGCAGGGGGCGCGCGGGGACGTCGGCCGCGCCGGGGTTGAGCGTCGGCCTCTGCTCGCGGCTCTGCCATGGCGCCCAAAGGCGGCTCCAAGCAGCAGTCCGAAGAGGACCTGCTTTTACAGGATTTCAGCCGCAACCTTTCGGCCAAATCCACCGCGCTCTTCTTCGGGAACGCCTTCATCGTGTCGGCCATCCCGATCTGTGAGCGCCGGGAACGGGCTGGTGGGGAGGGGGCGGGGAGGCGCCGGCTGGGCCTGGGGAGGCGCGGGCGGGACGTGGCGGGGCCGGGCTGGGGTCCGGCGAGGCGTCCCGGAGGCTGTGTTTGTGCGATCACCCGGTTAGGCCCTTGCGGGGCTAATGCTTTGGAGATAATGCTGCGGCTGTTTCCCCCACAACTGGCATCTTAAGCCTATGCCCGCACTTCGGAAAAACGAATGAATTACAGGAGAGACGGGTTCCTTTTTCCCTCTTTATTTAAAAAGATTTTTTTTAATGCATATTAAAAGAGCCGGGGTACAGGCCCGAGGTGCAGGGGGTGAAAGGATTCACCAGAGAGAGCAGGGAACAGAACAGGCAGACTGACGAAATACACTGCTGAGGGGAGCAGCGGAAGAGCTAGGAGAGGTCTGCTGTGCCGTGGGGGTAGCTCCCTGGCCAGCCGGGGATCGAACTCGTGCTGCAGAGGCTGCGGACAGTTTCATAGTGCTGTGCTTAACCCCTTGTGCCACCAGGGAGGCCCTTAACCCTAGCTTTAGAGTCGATCGCCTCCGGCTGATGTGCAGCCTTTTAATAATTTGATGGAGGAGGCTGGACAGCTGCCCAGGACCAGTGATCTGCTGTTTAAAACAGTTTTTTATCACCCTATTAGGGCACTTTTAGAACTCTCATTTGGATACAAAACATTTGCGAGTTGGCCAGGGTTGTTTTTAGAGTTCAGGGTTCCCGAATCTACATCTCTTGTCTATCACACTGTTGCAGGGTGTTTTAAATCCGGCTTTGTTTTCTCTTTGGCCTATACACCCGCGTGCAGGTTGGTGTGAATCCCCTGGCTGCGGGGCCGCACCAAGCAGCCTTGCTTTCATACAACTGCCACGTCAGCTCTGAATTAAGGCTTGGGACGGCATGTGCATTTTGGAATGACTTGTATTCCGTCTAATAGTCCTCTGATGAATGGAATTTGAGGTCGAATTGTGATTTTGTCAAGCCAGAGTTTGTTTTCATTTTAGAAGAAGCAGAAATTTCATTTCTACTAGTAACAGGAAGGTTATGCTTTACAAGTCTTCTGAAGTGGGAAAGCTTTGAGATTGTAACTTTTTTTGGGGTATCTCAACTTGTGAAGATCCTCATGTACACTATTGTATTACCTAGGCGGACTAAAATACCAGGCTTAACTACAATTAATTCAGCCGACGTTTGTAAATGGGTAGTAATGTCTTATTCCTTTTTAACCCAGCACCACTCCCCTCCCCCACCTTTTTTTTCCAGGGTTATATTGGCGAATATGGCATATGGATCTTATTCAGTCTGCTGTTCTGTACAGTGTGATGACCCTTGTAAGCACTTACTTGGTAGCATTTGCCTACAAAAATGTGAAATTTGTTCTCAAGCACAAGTAAGTATATTTCTCAAGTTGAAAACATGTTAAATGTTGCATTTCTATCTAGTAGATCTCTTAAAGATCATTTGTGTATCTTGGTTTCAGTAAGCACTAATGTGAGATGTCTTTGTGTGTGTGTATATATATTTACATATTTTGGGAAGGCACATTAACAATATGAGGAAATTATGAATTGAAGCAGAGGCAATGATTCTGATACTGCTAATGGAAGTAGATTTTGAGGGTGGAGTTAGAATATTTAAATACCAGTCTTAATCATAAAGTTTATAGAAAAGTAAATTCATAGCATTTCAGTAGAAAAAGGGATTCTTTCTGGGACAAATTGTTTTGGCTCTTCATGTACTATTTTTGAATGTGAAAGAAGAGTTGTTTTAATTTTTAATGCTAATTTTTAAATGAAATTTTTAATGCTAATTACATCTTTTTCTTGTGAGTATGTGAAAATTATCACACAGATTATAAAATAAATCAAAAATGGGGTAACATTATTTTGAATGACATGTTCTTTTGCGAAGAAAATGGGAATTGTTTAATTGGAAAAGGTGCCTTTGGACTGTTTTCAGGTTCATTTTGATTTCACATTCATCCTTGATTCAGGATAGCAGTGCATTTCTCTGCTCCCCAGTAAGACTTTCTGGTTGTTGTTGTGTTGTTTTTTTAATTTATTTATTTATACAAGCACCGGGTATAGTCAGAAGCGCGGGAGGGCAAGAGAATTCACCAGAGCCAGAACAGGGAGCAGAACAGGCAAACTGGCGAAGCACACTGCTGAGGGGAGCAGTGGGCGGCAGGAGAGGTCTGCGCGCCATGTGGGACCCTCGCCCGGCAGCCGGGGATCGAACTGGCTCTGCAGAGGCTGCGGGCAGCCTCGCAGCCGAAAGCTCAACCGCTGCGGCACTGGGGAGGCCCTGGATGTTCTTTCTTAAAGACAGTTGGAATTTTGCTAAATCTGAGAGGTACCCGCATGCTTGTCTTTTATTTCCATAGTTCTCTCTCTGGTTTGGACACTTGTTTGCTTGAATCCTTAGAGCACTCACTATTCAGTCTCTTAAACACATACATTTAGGGCGCTCTGTGGTATGTGCTGTATAAAGCATGATACTCTATGTAATCCATATATCTATGTGAGATACAGGTATTATTCTTGTTTATGGGATGAAGAAAATGTATTCATCCTTACACCATCATTTCATTATGTTATTTTTCTAATAACTCATCATACATTTCTCTTTTTTAAGTGTATTAAAACCAAATTCTTCCAGGTCCCAGGAATGCATGTCATCCTCCTACCAGTCTGACTTCACCTTTCTGGACTGGGCTTTCTCTTCTGAGAGTCTTCATGTCGTCCTTTGAACATGAATTGTGCCCTTCCTCATTTAGAATTGTCCCCTTTCCATTCCTACTTGTTTGTAATTTTGAGACTTAGTGATCTTTTCTAGAGAAGTCCTAACTTTTTTGTCCCTATGTTAGTATCTTTTTGGTGACAGGGACGGAAACCTGTTGAGATCATCTCAGTTAATAGGGATTTGTTGTACAGAGACCAGAGAGGGCTACATTGGTTTCTCCCATATCTCTGCACCCACAGGCACTTAGGTTGAGCATCACTGCTTACTTTGTATCCCAGGAGCTAATGCGATCGAAGTAAGGTTGAAAGCTATTTTCCTGAATGATCTCAGACTTTTCTTTTCAAGATCCACTAGATTTCTCCATTTTCCCTGAATATACCGACCAGAACTGAATATAGCACGGTAGTGAACAGATTTCTATTTCCATGCTTTATGTCCTGTTGCTTTTAATACATCTCAAGTTTGCCTGAAATGTTTATGTAGTGGGACTGTGTAGGACATTGTCACAATTTTCTTGTCTTTTTTTAACTTCTATATGATTAATCCGTTTCTCCTATGTATTGAAAAATGGACTATGTTGAATGGAAATGTCAATTTTGGGGTGTCTTTGTGTTTCATCACAGTTTAAATTTAGTCCATTCTTTCACAGAAATCCTATCTGATAAAATTCACCTTGTAGATTCTTTGATGAGTATACATTTAAGTTTTTAATCATTACTGAAGATTCTGATCTGACTTCTTGGGGAAAAAAAGTGAAGTCTTTTTCTAGCTGATCCCATATTATTTTTATTTTTTAAGATTTATTTATGCATACAAGAACTGGGGTATGGGGGCAAGAGGATTCACCAGAGACAGAGTTGGGAACAGAACAGGCAGAAGGACTGAAATATACTGCTGAGGGGAGCAGCGGGCAAGTCAGGAGAGGTCTGCTGTGCCATGTGGGTAGCTCCCTGGCCGGGAATCAAACTCATGCTGCAGTGGCTGCGGATAGCTTCATAGGTTGTGTCTTAACCCCTTGTGCCACCAGGGAGGCCCTGATCCCATATTTTGGCGCATTCCTCAAACCAGTGGTTTATTTAACTGAAAGTGGTAAATGAATCCCTGACCATGTGGCATTACCTCTTTTTAGTGAAATTGTTCCTTGGAGTGGAGTTAAAAAATATTAAGATACTAAGGCTGGTAACTCCCCTTTGTTTTTTTTTAAGCCTAGTTTTCTCTCCTATTATTTACTGAAATTAAAATCATGTCATTTGTTAATGTCTCATCCAATTTATTTGTTGAGCAGTTAAATCATAGGTTAAAACTAAATGGAGTTAAATTGATTCATAGCTGAACTGTGGCAATAGCATTTGACTTTTATTTCCCTATTAAATTTCAAAAAATTCTTCCTTAAACAGAAATCAAAACACATAACTAATAAACCACATCTTGGAAGTTTCTTGCACGACCTCTCTTTGGCTAGTACAGTGTAATAAACTTGGGACTTTCTGTCCAGCTTCTTTTCTTGAAATGTAAAGTATTATACAATTGCCAGCACAAAATATGAGTACAGAGTGTTTCTGAGAGAGTGTGATGCTCACTTGTGGAGCATGTGGAAACTATTTTTTCTTTTCCTTCCAGAGTAGCACAGAAGAGGGAGGATGCTGTTTCCAAAGAAGTGACGAGAAAACTTTCTGAAGCTGATAATAGAAAGATGTCTCGGAAAGAAAAAGATGAAAGGTTTGATCCCTTAAAGTGTTTCTGGTAATCACAAAGGGAATGCTTAGTGGGAAATAATTTTTGATTCCTGCTTAGAGGGTATGGGTATTGCATTGTTATTACAGAAGATGTAGTGATGAGAAGATTAATAACTGCTTTTGAGTTTTGTTATCAGCAGATATTTTTCTTTGTGCTGTATAGTTTATTCCTGTAAAGAGCCCTAAGATATAGGGACTGTTACCTCCATTTTACACCCAAGGAAACTGAAGTACAGAAAACTTAGGTAACTTGCCTGAACTGTAGATCAGCTTTGGTGAGAAGCACTGTGACCTTAGTGCTTGTGCTCTAACTGCTCTGCTGGAACTAGGAGTCTGGAGAGCTTTGCTCAGAGCTGACTTTGTCCTTGAGTGACTCACCTGACCCTTCTGAGTCTGCAATGTTTACATTGTGTGGCGTTCTAGCATTTCCAGGTGATGGTGTTTCTGTTGCTGAGCTTCCAGAGGAACATCCAGTTCTTGGTTATCTACCTTGACTGGGGAAGAGAAAAGAACTGGGTTTGTCTCCTATTGACTTCCACCTCCCTTTTTTCCTGCTGACTGGTACTGGAAGGCTTAATAGTCTAACATCTGAGGAGTAGAATTCTCTGAATGATTGAATAAGCTCATGCTTACAAGTTGCCAGATGGTTTAATAGAGTCATGAATTGTGCTGTTTTCATAGATCTTAAGGTTTTTTTTTTTTTTTTTTTTTTTTTTAAATAGAGGCATGTTTTATTTATTTATCTATTCATTTGTTTGTTTTTTTTTGTTTATACATGCACTGGGTACAGTCAGAAGCGCGGGAGGGCGAGAGAACCCACCAGAGCCAGAGCGGGGAGCAGAGCAGGCAGAAGGACCGAAGCACACCGCTGAGGGGAGCAGCGGGCGGCAGGAGAGGCCTGCGCGCCATGCGGGACCCTCCTCCGGTGGCCGGGGAGCAGCCGGGGATCGAACCGGCGCCGCAGAGGCCGCCGGCAGCCTCGCAACCCAGCGCCCAACCGCTGCGCCACCGGGGAGGCCCTCATAGATCTTAAGTTTTGATATTTACAAGCTGTTCTGTGGAATGGAACAGAAACTTTGTGGGGATTTGCAATATTTAAGTGCATATAACACAACTAATATAATTTTAAAAGATCACAATCCATTTAAAAAGGAAGAGAAGGTAGATGACCAAGGACCTCAGTTAGTTTTGTCATTTGTGCACTAAACTTAGGCTGAGCTTCCAAGTGAAAGGGAAGCCTCTGAGGTCATACAGCTTTCATTGTCTGATGAGAAGCAGCATGTAAGCAGCATGTAAATCCTTCTGAAAGGAAACTTTCCTGGCACTGAATCTTGGAAGGACTTCATCAAGTGGATCCTTATTTAAGGGACATTTAGCAACTTAATGAACAACATCTTCTGTGGTGGTTTTGGAAGGACATCAAAACATCATTTCAGTGGTTATCTCCTATGGATCCTTTGTAAAGCTGAAGGCCCTGTATTAAATTATGGCAATGAAGGTCTTTTTTCAGAGTAGCTTTAATGAGGGCTGACTGCATAGTGTTCTGGTTGCAAATTTTTGCATAGGGATAGAACTTAGAGAATCTGAAACACTTTTAACCTTTTTATTATAACATTCACTGGTGTGGTGGTTCTAGTATGAAGTACATATCATTGTTACATAGATTTCAAAAAGGTTTGTTATAGGTCTTATGGGTTTCAGGTGATTAATTATTTGAAAGATGGCAAATGGGTCTTCTCTGCCCACTGCAGACTTGCCTGATTTGGTTTTTGATCCTAAGTAGTGGGTCAGAGTTAGAATTGGAAGTGAAACTTCTGCCATTGGGTGTACTAGATACTTTAAGATGATTTGGAGATTTCATTGATAAGCTAAATGCAGTGTCAGAAGTAAAATTGTCAACTGTAGAAATATGTGCTTTTAGTATTTCACAAATCCACATTGAATACCAGTACTCTTGATTGAACCTCATAACTAAGACCAAGACTCCCATCTAGAGCTAATATTTTTCTTCCTCAAAGGATAAGTTGCTTGGAAGAGATTTGATTAAAAACTTTTCAAAGGATAAGTTGCTTTGAAGAGATTTGATTAAAAACTTGTCACCTCTTTATCTAGATGCGTCTCTCAAAGCTCCATCTGAAACAAAGTAAATCGAAGAATTATTAAATCGATGGCATTATTAAAACCTAGGAAATAGAGCATGTATGTTAGAGATCACAGATTAGTTAAGAGGATATGATGCTGATCACTTTCATTTAGCTCTGGTACAGCCAAGCTTGTTGACTTTGGATTAGAACAATTGCTAAATGAAATATGTTAGTTACCCATGACATTAGCCATAGTGCTGTTCTTAGGATTCTGTTTACAGGGGGGTGAGGTGTCTTTTTTGGGGACAAAGTACCTACAAGCAGGTGGCTTTCAACTGTTTTGATAGTGATTCAGAATAGGAAAAAAAAACAACTGTATTTTAACTTTTGACCAGATACACTCAGACATAAACTTGCAGTTGTTTCACAAAACAAGTTATCCTAGTGTGATATACTCTTCATATTTTTCTAGTCTTCCCTATGTAATTTTAAAGATTTATTTATTTATGCATAGAAGAACTGGGCTGTAGACCAGAGGTGTGGAGGGTGAAAGGATTCACCAGAGACAGAGTAGGGAGAACAGGCAGACTGACTGAAATACACTGCTGAGGGGAGCAGTGGGTGAGACAGGAGAGGTCTCTGCTGCGCTGTGTGGGTTAACTCCCTGGCTGGGGATCGAACTCAAGCTGCAGTGGCTGATGATAGCTTGACAGCACTGAGGCTTAACCCCAACGCCACCAGGGAGGCCCACCCTTTTTAATTTTTTAAAAAATGCTGGTCTCAACCTCTCGGTTATTATGCTTGAGCATTTGTTTCACTCAGTTGATTTCATATCTCACCGTTAGGTAACAACCTAACTTTAAAAACTGCTTCACTAAGTTAATTAACCAAGAGAAGTTAAGTCTCCCTTATGCGTAGATACCTAGAACTTCCTGTTGCTTACATGAAGAAGTAAATGTAAAGTTTGATAATTAGTTAAATTAATGATATAAAATACCATAACAAAAAAAAAATGGGTTTTATAAAAGTTAAGACGTTCTAATGAGAAAGCAGATCCTTTGCTTTAATTAATGTAAAGATGGTTAGAGAGAGTCTCAGAATTTTACTATTGTCACACCACAGCTAATTTTTATTTCTGGATTGTATTTTTGAAGGCTAAAATCCTGATAGTCTGTATTTCCTGCCAGCAAATGGCCAGGAAGTTTAACTGCCAGGAAGTTTTGTCCAGCTGAGGATCCAATGTGCTGTAGGTGAGGCCCTGGAAAAGATGCCTGTTAGGGCTGCTGAGGAAACCAGCCTAGTTGGTATTAGTCAGACTCTTCCTCTGAAGCTCTATTAACTTGGGAAAAGAGGAGCATATCCAGCAACTGTTTTCTTTAGCATCAGTACAGCATCAGTAGCAGAAAGGGAACAGGTCTGACTAAATTTAATATTAAAACTATATTCTGTCTTGAAGACTTAAGGAGATCTTAAAATGAACTAGGGCCATGAAGTATTTGCATTTTTAAAACATGTTTGTTTATCAACTTGGTTTGTGTGTGTGCCCATAGGATCTTGTGGAAGAAGAACGAAGTTGCTGATTATGAAGCGACAACATTTTCCATCTTCTATAACAACACTCTCTTCCTGGTTCTCGTCATTGTGGCTTCCTTTTTTATCCTGAAGAACTTCAACCCCACAGTGTATCCTTTTAAAGGTTGATTATCTTTATTAGAAATCTAGAAACAGTAGTTCATTTTGATTTGTTGAGTATTTTAGTGGAAAGAAAAACTGTAGTCCATTAAATAGCACTGTGACCTTGAACAGATTTCTGGACATTTAAAATAAGAGCTTTTGTCTTGATAAATTTATAAATTAGGACATCATGATAAGTAACAAGTATTACAAAGCAGTTCCTCATAGATGAGTCTGTATATCTACCTCTAGTTCTAAGGAGGGGGATGAATTGCCTTCTTTTATAGCTCTTGGCAAAGGCCCTGGAGTCTACTGATATTTTGAGTTTTGGGATTGAGTGACTAGCCAGTGCAATTAAATAGGCACATTTCATAATATCTTAATAATGTTTCAGGTTGCTCTTAACTGAGCTATTAAACAAGAATCAGTCTTCTCTTGTTAAGGTAATTTATTAGAGATGTTATCCAGGAATGTGCAGCCAAACTTTTAACATTTGGAGATTATGATGCAACAAAATATCAGACACTCTCTAACTTGTATCTTCTGGGACTCCTGGAGTGGTTTGTCCTGAGCAGCCCAGTCCCTAGACTGAGTAGCTGCAGACTTTCCAAATGTCCATGCTTTTATTTTCCCGCTGAGGGCATGTGAAGAGGGGAAGAGACAGCAACAAGGCACACAGTCTCTTCTTCCTTCTCAGATCCTCTCATCAATGCTCTTGAAGATAAACAAGATTCAGATGTGTTCTTTGTGATCCTGTGGTCTAGGTTTATGTTTCACGGGTTTTCTTTTTAAAATTGGAATATATTTCCTGTGAATGTTTTTCATTCCTTATAGTCTTCTCTCATAAAATATGTTTGTAGACAGTGGCATTGTCCATCATTGTCATTAATCAGAGTGCCAGGAAGGAGAGAGTATATTCCAAAGAGATGGGTTCTTTTTGTTTTGGGTTCTTAGTTTTTCCTTAACAAATTCTTACAGGAATTACATTTTGTCCATAAGTGCTTCATCAGGCCTCATTGCCCTCCTGTCTACTGGCTCCAAGTAGACCATTTCAGCCTCACTCCCTGGCTTTGTATCTATGGGTGGCCTGAGGTATATGTAAAAGTAGCAGGGTGGTCGGTCAGGGTGGGAGACTCACAAGATGTTTTTATAGTCTGGAATTTGAGGGTTTAAAAAAAACCCAGGAAAATGTAATTCAATATGTGTTTGTTGGCTCTTTTTGGCAGATTGTTGAAATTAAATGAATTGAATGGGAAACTCAGAGTACCAGAACATTTATTAAAAGGCAGAGTGTCTTGCGATGTGCTATAATCATAAGAGAAGAAAATAACTTGTTTCCTTCATCTGTCAGAGGTCAGGGTAACCTAGACGGAGCTGTTATTATTTATTATAGTTGCAAGAAGTTAATAACTGGTTCTCTCTGTTCCAGCTACAACATTACAACTTCTTTTGAGCCTTATAAGTATTAGAATGAGTTCTGTCCCCGAGGGAGATAGAACAGAAGCCTCATATTTGCAGGACTGAATTTGTGATTTGAAATAACAAAGTTAAAAAAACATGCTTTATCCAACTTGGGAAAGTGAAACTTGTGGAAAAGTTTTTCCTCCCCCCCCGAAGAAGAAAGGCAGCCTTGGCAGAAGCCTAAAAATAGTGCCCAGATTTGTCCTAGAGGGTTAAAGCACACACTGTTCACTATATAGCTTTGGCCCTGTCTGGCCAGAGAGGTCAGCTTGACCCTAATGTGTTGATTTCACCTGTTAAGAGACTAGATGCATTGATTTCCTCCATGAGGATCTGGTGTTAGCATGGAGGAATGTTTGTTAACAGGAGAGCCTTTTTCCTGTCTATTAACATGTAGAAGGCTAAAGTGATTTTTAGGTCCAGAATTCTTAGAATTCAAAGGAATCAGTGATTTTTGTCAACATTTCCCATTTAGGAATCCACAGATTCCTAAATTTGACCTCTTGGTCCACAGAACCCTGTCAACTCTAAACAAAAAATTAAATCTCTCTATTCTTTGGGGATCTAAGAGTAGTCTCCTGTTTTTTTAGTCATTGAGTGTTCAGATGTCATTTTCTGTGTGTGCCGTGATTTGAAAAAGTTTGTGAAGCTCCTCTTTTACCTGTCTCACTTAAAAAACTATGGAATCATAGGTGATACTGGTTTTATTTTCTTGTGAGCTTTTGACCACATCCAGTACTTTCCTAAAAACAGTAAGAAGCTCAGAGGAAATAGGCATATTCCTAATTCCTAATTTAACTTTAATAGTTCCATTTCTAAATTTAAGGTAAATATTGCAAATACTCTCCACTTTTCAATTTATTACTATTAAAAGGTATTCGTCAGGAGTTTGTCTTCCACTTCCATGCTGTTGGATTTTTGGTAGAGCGCATCTAAGAACTTGGGGAGGAGGGAGTACCCTTGCATAATGATCAGATCAGCACTGTCTTCAGTTGAGGACTGGTCACTGCTTTTACAAGTTTGCAGGCCTTTCCTTTGGTGCCTAGCTCTCCACTTGCCCTCACTGGGTAATTTGGACTGATGGGTAGTCTGAAGAGAGTCACTGTAGTTAGTATAACCCATGAAAGGTCTGTTTTTATTATTATTGTTTTAACATGGTTTTTTTTTTTCTGTTGGTGAATAAGTGGTCACTAGTTTGGCAACATGGAGTTAGTGTACTACATGCATTTACTTGTCTGACAAACCACTGGTGTCATCTGTTTTTTTTTTTTTTTTTCTTTTTTTTTTTTTTTTTGAGGCATGTTTTTTTATTTATTTGTTTGTTTGTTCGTTCGCCTCGTTTATACATGCACTGGGTACAGTCAGAAGCGCGGGAGGGTGAGAGAATTCACCAGAGCCAGAGCAGGGAGCAGAGCAGGCAGAAAGACCGAAGTACACTGCTGAGGGGAGCAGCGGGCGGCAGGAGAGATCTGCGCGCCATGTGGGACCCTCCTTCGGTGGTCGGGGAGCAGCCGGGGATCGAACCGGTGCCGCAGAGGTTGCCGGCAGCTTTGCAACCCAGCGCTCAACCGCTGCGCCACCGGGGAGGCCCTGGTGTCATCTGTTTTTAGAGAGCTGGGGCAAGTCTATAAATTGGAGGTAAAAAATTACCACTAGATGGCATTGCTGGATAGATGGGGAGAAATGCCACCATGCTTCTTGTAATATGGTTTGCCTGAGTTGGGGTGTGAAACAGGGACATCTACTTAATATTCTTAGTAGAAAGTCTCCTGAATTAATAAGCTACATAATTTGTAGAAAAGCAAAGAGGCAAAATTTGCCTTTGATCCTGAATTTTTCCTAGAGCACTTTTTGTTTACAATCCTGATGATGGCTTCAGATTTTCTGCACTCTTAGATAAATTTCTAGACATAAACATATAAGGCATGTGTACTGACAGTTCCACAGTTTTCATTAAGGATTTACTGTGCTTATCCTCTTGGGAATTATACTCGGCAATTGACCCTTTTCCCCATCTGAAATGGCCATGTGGCATAGAGAATTATGACATGCAGAATTTGGTTTAGGTAGCAAAAACCTGCTGTAAGATTTCCATCTTAAAGAGACTCCATGTCCAACAACAGTAAAATAAAAGGGGTTCTGTGATTGGGATTCAAAGTGATAAAGTTTCTTTGTTGTACTCCTTGTGATAAGAAGAGGCTTGAAGTGTTGGAACATTTTTCATTTCCCTATTTTTAGCTTCCTCATTTACAATGTAGTAGAAATCTTGGGTTGAAATTATTCTTAGCCAGTAAAATTTTACTACTTGTCCTATTTGGTATATGATTTGAAACAAGATTTGAAGTTAACTGAAATAAGGAGGTTGGATTCATACCCAAAGCTCTTGTGAACAGTCTTGCTTAATAAGCATTATTAAACTTTGTTCTTTAAAAAACTGTATTTGCTCTAGACTTCTTTATGAGAACCATGTGAATAAGTCTTTGTTACTTCATTTCACATTACCATGGCTTTAATTTCTCACACATGTAAAAGTGCATTTCTGAAGTTATCTGATTACATGTTTGTGTGGCAGTGACGGGCACAGCGCAGTTCTATTACAGAGCAGAATGCTGAGCTGCTGCGCCATCCTGCCCATCCAGGCTTGTGTTTGCAATACGAATGCCAGTCACTGCTGCTTCTAAAGCCAGGAAGGAAGGAAAAATAGACTTGTTTAGAGAAAACCAATCTACAGATGAACCTGTTGGGAAGGGCTGTGAGGGGCTATCTCCCACCTCCTTGCACGCCTCAGAAGGATGTAAATTGAAGTTTAGGAGGATCTTTTGGGTGGTTGGTTTAGATTTTCTTAGAGCTGGTTAGACACTAACTTCTCATGGATTGTCACTGCATCTCTTCTGACCTTTCCCTCACCTTAATTCATCCTGAATTTGGATTCATACCAAAACTTTTGTTAACTTAAAAATTCACACAATTACTGCATGAACTCTTAAAGCTAAAAAAAAAAAAAAAATCACTGAACTGGAACACAAAATACTTGGATATAGGCCTGGTTCTGTCATTAATAGGCAGTTGAATTTGGTCCAGTTCCATCAGCTCTTCAGACCTGGTTTCTATATTTGTCAAGGAGGGTTACTTAGAAGATGTCTCAGGTCCAGGGAATGTCTTTTTTTTTTTAAGATTTATTTATTTTTTAAGATTTATTTATTTATACAAGCACTGAGTACGGTCAGAAAGAAGTATGGGAGGGTGAGAGAATTCCCCAAGCCAAAGCGGGGAACAGAACAGGCAGACCACCGATGAAATACACTGCTGAGGGGAGCAGCGGGCGCAGCAGGAGAGATCTGCTGCGCTATGTGGGTAGCTCCCTGGCCGGCTGGGGATTAAACTCGTGCTGCAGTGACTGTGGACAATTTCATAGACTGCGTCTTAAACCCTTGGGCCACCAGGGAGGCCTAGAGGGTTTTTTTTTTTAATATATACAAATCATCTGCCAAGGTAAATAACTAGATAAGAAATAAATTTCACAGTTCTAGCCTAAAGAAACCTTTCCATGCACTCATTTTTTTTTTCTGGAAAGAATTCCTTGGCAAAGATACCATTCCAAAAGGTAACCTGGAAAGAGTCATCCATTCACTGAAATCTTGGCCAGGGAAATGCTAACCCAGTCCTACATCTGGCTTCCTGTTTTAAGAACTTCCTGCACATCTTAATCAAGAATGTGCCTAAGGTCATCAAGAAGATGTCTCAGGGGCCTCCCTGGTGGCACAAGGGGTTAAGCACCACACTATGAAGCTATCCGCAGCCTATGCAGCACGAGTTTGATGAATCCAGCACGAGTCTCTGGTGAATCCTCTCCGCTCCCACACTTCTGGCTTGTACCCCTGTTCTTGTATACATAAATAATCTTTAAAAAAAAAAAAACAAAAAACCTCATTCCCACAGCTAAGCAATAATGTTTGTAATTGGTTTTAATTTGCAGATTCTTTAAGGATAATCTTAGTTATAATACAAAAGTATTTCTAAAACCTAGTAAAATATATCTAACAGCTGATCATTGTCTTCATTAGTAAGAGAAAAAAATTTGTACTTAAATCTTCTAATCATCATTGTTTCTGTTAGGCACCATTCAGTGCATCTTACCTGCATAGATAATTACTTATGTACTTATTGGCTATTTTATGTAGCTGGATACACACACATAATGAAAGAGCAGATAAAACTTGTGAGATTAAATGCACAAAATGCTTTTATTACTCTAAGCAAATAAATAAATTACAGTTCTCATTAGACAACATCAGCTCATTTCTACACAGTAGTTCACTGGGTTGATTGAATACACAATGAACAACTGAAAAATGATCCATTTCTATCATTCATACTCTTGGTTAAACTCCCACTTTCCTCTTATTAAAATACAGGTAGTAGTAATCAAAGAAAAGTTGTTACTATTTCACATTAACATTTTAAGATTTAGAACTTAACCATGAAATACACACCTGGAAATGATGGCAGAAAAGAATATTTTAAGCAGATAGTATATTTCTTCTGTAAGTCTCAAAGTGATTTCTAAATAAGGGATCTGCTGGTCAAAAAATTAAATTTTTGTACATGCTCTGGTGTCTGAATAGGAACATAGGACCAGCCTCCTCCCTCCCCACACCCCCAAAAGAAAAACCAACATTTTCTCCCATCTTACAGGTACACACAGTATATTCTCAGCATTTTTTTTTTTTTTAAGTGGAATATTCATCTGGGGGTTAGCCAAGATTGGCAGGACTAGATGGCTTCTGAATGTAACAAGGCTAGGCCCCTTTAATCCATGCAGAGAGCTTTCATGCATATAGGTTAGTGTACATAGTGTGATTATAAATCAGGATGTTCTGTAACATTTGCTTTTCATAGGGCTAGTTAATTCACCCAGCATATATTGGGTAGTGACAGCATTTTTTCACAAAGCCCATGATTCACTTTCATGTTAATAACTCCTCAGAAATACCAGGCATTATATTGTAAAATCCCAGTGCTAATTAAAGAGCAAACATTTGCCTTTCTGGGTATTTTACAGGTTGACTTAGAAAACTGAGCATATGTATATTTATTTTTAAAAGCTCAAATATTTAAACTTGCAGAAGCTATGTCTACAAGCACAAGCAGTCAAAAGTATTAAGCAGGTTTTAGTAAAATGTAGTCAAAAATGAACATTTCATTGCAGGTACATTTTATTCCAAGCAGTTTCCATAGCAGTGTAATCCTCCCCTTCATAAATTAACCTTAATATCTCTACTAAAGGTTGGGATGTTCATCTTTTTACCATCTCTTCATATAAATGGACATAGCAGCATTAGAATTCTAGTAGATACCTTGGATAAATTGCTATATAGGGCCATACTTGGGGCCAAGCTACAGTGAAAATTTTAAAGCAAAAACTTAGGAATTTTGGTTTGTTAAGTAAATGAAACAACTCTTGCTAACGTGAATGTGAGAATAGAAAAAAATAAATTTTTTCTGCTTATTCTCCAAGCAAGACTTCTGCGTTAAGATGGCGTGCTCTTTCTGGTTCAGACCACATTGTACCTGTGGATCTTGTTCACTTGAAAAAATATCTCACAGCCTTCATTAAATTACTAAATGACTGAAGGTAATGCATCTTCACCCCTATATACTCTCCAATGCATAAGCATGAGGTGTACAGAGCAATGCAAGAACAGGTGACTCCAGTCCAAGATAAGAAAATAGAATGGATTTTCCTGGTTGTGAGTTTCCAGATGTGCTCATAATTCAGATGCACAGTGGTAGCGACAGCAGACACCTCAGAATCCAGGGACACTAGAGGTTGAGCAGCAGGCTGCTAAGTGATTCAAAGGACTGGCTAGTGACACCATTCTGTGCCTGTAATACCACTATTTTTACCATGCAGCTCCAGGGCTCATGCACTGCCTTAGGATCTGTAGTCCTTTTTGCTGTAGGGCTTGTTGCGCAATATGTTATCAATCTCATTTACCACATGTGATGTCATCTTTGGGAGAACCTGAGAGCAAGAAAAGGACAAGAGAGGCAGTTAGGACTTGATCATTTATTCTTTGCTTCAATATTACACAGAGTTGGGCCTGCCCTGGTGGCGCAGTGGTTGAGTGCTGGGCTGCGAAGCTGCCTGCAGCCTCTGCAGCGCCGGTTCAATCCCCGGCGAGGATCCCACATGGCACGTTAGACCTTTCCTGCCATGCCTGCTGCTCCCCTCAGTAGTGTATTTCATCAGTCTGTCTGTTCTGTTCCCTGCTCTGGCTCTGGTGAATTCTCTCACCCTCCCGTGCTTCTGACTGTACCCAGTGCTTGTATAAATAAATAAATCTTTTAAAAAATATTACAGAGTTGTGTAGACTTGTATAACACATAAAGCACGGCTAGAATGTAAGCTCCTTACTAGACTGAGCTCCTTGAGGTTAGGGGCCTTGTTTTATTGACCTGTATCTCCAGTGTGCAAAAGTGCTTGCCCATAGTAGTTGCTCTTAATTACTGGTTGCCTGGATAAAAGCAGGCATAACGTATAAAAGAAGACTCATGAGGGCCTCCCTGGTGGCACAAGGGGTTAAGACGCAGCCTGTGAAGCTGTCTGCAGCCTCTGCAGCACGAGTTCCATCCCCAGCTGGCCAGGGAGCAACCCGCATGGCACAGCAGGCCTCTCCTGACTCACCTGCTGCTTCTCTCCCAGCAGTGTACTTTAGTCGACTGCCAGTTCTGTTCCCTACTCTCTCTGGTGAATCCTCTCACCCCTGCACCTCTGCAGAAGGATGAGCTCATCCAGGGCTAGCACTTCCCGTGAGAGGTGGGCCAAGGGCACACATTGCATCATGAGACACAGGACAAAGGCAGACTTTGTGGCAGAAATAGTCTGACCCTGTGTGGAAACTGGAACGGTCATGACCAGTTCTGAGGGTTTGGCCTCGCCCTTCCTCTGCCGCAGTCATGTTGGCCAGGGTGACTTGTCTCCACTCAAGTGTCATCTTCAGAAGCCTTTAGGGTTTGGCAGAACAGTGGAGCTCCTTGACCTGAGAATCCGGTTCTGGTTAACAGTTTCCTATCCGAGGCCTGCGGGGGTGTTGGAAGTCTCACCAGCTCTGGAGTCTGAAGATCTAAACTAGTGTGTTATTTAAAATGAGATTGCAACAGTGAGCCCCAAGCTAGAAACGGGAAGTTTTGTGTCTAAAATACAATGGGTTAGCCATGTGAGGAAAAAAAAATCCTTCATTACACTGAGATAAATCTCAGATTAATGCCATTAAAAAGTGAAACCAAAAAAGTACTTGAATAAAATACTAAAGGTTTCAGGCTGGTGGGGGAAGGGAGGCACTTCTTCCCACTTTGGGGGTGCAAAGAGAGAGGACAGCTGTGCAGCAGTTGGTGCCCCAGCTGCAGTATAATTTCTCCCCTGACCCTGGGATTCTGGCCCCCTCTGGTTTATGCACATTTCAGGCATATCCCAGACCCTGAGGCAGCTGCCTTCCTGAGCCGCTAGAAATGTTCTTTCCTTACAGCTGCTGGCACTTATACTTTCCGTCCTTTTGCAGCCAATCCCTCCACTGCTGGGAACCCAGCCACCCTGGGGCCCTAGTAACAGCATGCCTTGGGTGGAGTATTCAGTGATGGGAGCTGAGGGACGGTACATAAGGGAGGGCTGGTAAGCCCCCAGGGTTACACCTTCCTACTTGGGTAATGGCCCTTTTCTCTTGCCTTTAAGCTTGATGCCCTGTTCTGCTACCGGTCAGAGTCTTGCTATGCACAAAGTACTTCGGAAGACATTTTCTCAGAATTTTATCTTTCAGCTACCTGGAATCCTCCTGTAGCCCAGAGTTACCCCTCTCAGCATTCCTAGGGAGTGGTAGCTCCCCGAGGTGGCAGTGATGATCACTGGGTTAGCCCGGTAAGAACCCACAGTTCCTCTGTCCTTACCAAGCCATTAACAAGTAGTGCTGCTTCTCTTTCCCAAACCTAGGCAAGCCACCTCTCCACCCACATGGCCACCAGCAGGCTACACACCTGGGACCTGCAGACCTGGCCCTCCCCTGCTTCATTCTGCACTCCCAGCTGTCAGCTGTCTTTAAACAGGGCCTCCCTGGTGGCGCAGGCAGTTGAGCACCACATTGTGAAGCTGTCCGCGCAGGTTTGATCCCCCCCCATCTGGACCAGCGAGAATCCCACATGGCGCAGCAGATCTCTCCTGTTTTGCTCGCTGCTCCCCTCAGCAGTTTATTTCGTCAGTCTGCCTGTTCTGCTTTCTGCTCTGTCTCTGGTGAATCCTCTCACCCTCCTGTGCATCTGGCCTGTACCCCAGTTCTTGTATAAATAAATAAATCTTAAAAAAAAAAAAAGCTGCCTTTAAACTTTAAACTAGCACTATGTCCCCTCTCCCTAAGCCCTCCAAAGGATTGATCTGTGTAGACCAGAACTCACACTCCTCTAGCATCCTGGGGGTCTTTTCCCTGCCTGCCTCTCTACTGAGGGCGCCCGCTGTCCTCTTGGTCAGGGCATATGGACATGTTAGCCTTAGACTGGCAGTTCCCGGAAAAAGCCTTTCCTTCCCAGCTCAGGTCTGTGCCCTACTCTCCTATGTCTGGAATGCTCTCTCCTGGCTTTCATAGGCTGTGTCCTCTCCCAGGTTCACAATACACCTGTTACAGTCGGGGCTTCTGCCAAGGACGTCACGTAAAGGAGGCCCGCCTATTTCTCAATTAGCCTTCATTATAGCACCATCTTGACTGACTTAATAACCCTTCTCAGCAATTCAGATTGTTTTATCTGTGATACGTACCTGTCCCACTAGGTTGGAATATCTTGTTTCCCATGACTCCTAAAGTCAGCTGAGCTAATTAAGGGATAAATTTCTTAATTCACTTTTCCCCCAGTCCTGCCTTGAGGTCAGGGTCTTGTTCTTATCTCTCTACCTTCTCTGCCCGGAATAATGCAGATACAGAATTAGTACTTAATATTAGTGGAGGTGAGGTTGTTGCATTGGGTTTGGTGTACAAGCTCTTCCCTATCCCTCTGACTCTCTGTGTACCCACTACAGGGACAGAGGCCACATGGGCTGGGGGGCTTTGGAGCAGGAGGCGGAGACAGTGGAGCCTAAGACAAGTGCTTATCTGCTGTGGAGCCCAAGACAAGTGATGTGGGGAAGGAGCTTTACCATTCACCTCCCCCCCCCCGCCCCCAGCATGTTTTGGGCTATTCTATAAAAGGGACTTCTAATATTTTAAGTTTAATGAATTTTCCCCACCTCCCTCTATCTTCTTTTGGGGGAGGTAACTGGCTAAGAGCATGTTTTGGGGATGGCACGGGAGGGCAGGGGAGAATAGGCAGGTATTTCTGTTCCCCTGTAAGAGGAAAATGTTACTGTTTCAGCAGGAGGTGGCTCTGGCAAGGGTAGCGGATGTGCTCCTTTCTGGGACCCTTGGCAGTGCTGAGTGGGGCCCACCCGAGAACGAGGTGTTGCCTTTTGGGGAGGAGGAGGAAATGGCCACAACAGCTGCCGCTCTCGCCCTTCTTAGCTAAAACTCCCAGGACCATCTCCCACTTCCCTCCTCCTACTGCCCCCTGCAGGCCCCCTGGAGTATAACTGCAGGCTCCATCTACTGCTTTAGGTCTCAGACCACCCCAGCACGGGAAGGAGTGGGGGTAGGTACCCCAAATTTACGGCCAGAGAGATGTGATTCTGGAAGCCCAAAAAAGAGCCTATTTTTCTCAAGACACAACAAACTTTCATGTATTCAACAGATATCTCTTGAGTATTGACTAAAGGCCATATAATCAGTTGGGAGCTGGAAAATTGGTGGAGAAGCTAGACAGACAGGTGTCTGACCTCAGGGAGCTTATTGTCTAGGGGGGACAGTCATACTATGTGATCCTAAGTGCTGTGGAGGCACACTGTTGGTCGGCAATAAATATTTGTGGAAATACACGTCCTATGGCTGTTACATTGCTAGCAGGCAACTAAGCAGGCTCGCATGGTCAGGCCCTGGAAACCACCCAGCAGGTATAACGCTGGAGCTGGGAATGCACCATCCACAGAAACAAACCGTCCTGAGAGGTGAACTTTGAGATGAGGAGGACACCCCGGATCCACGTGCTGTAGAAGTCATGTGGCTCTGTGTCCCTACTTCCCTTCCAACCCTATTTGGAACAGGGACCCCATCCCCTATATTAGGGGCTTTCACGTAACTTGGCAGCTGTGACATGATGGACAGAGGTGGGGAGAGACAGGATGTTGCCTGGGAACATTCCCTGGCATTTGCTGGTAAGGGCTGGCTACTTGCCTGTATGGCACCGAGGTTTTCAATGAGTTGTTCAGGAGTAGATGATCCCAGGAGCACAGAGCTCACACCCTCGTTCCTCAGGCACCAAGCTGGGAAGAGAGAACACTGGTCAGGATGTCAAAACATTGCTGATGATTGTTTTACTTATCACTACCACCTGCAGCCACCATCGTGGCAACCAAAATGTATTAACTCTGGAGGGCAGAGAGGGGTTGATAAGACAGTGAATTTCAGAACTAAAAATCTCAGGCTTACCCCTTGTCGACGGGAGGATTTGGGAGAATGTGCATTAGAATTGTGTGTTGCTGCTTCCTGTGCTTTTTTGTGAGTTCTGACCCCAGCTTCTGGGGCAGCCAGTCCAGCTGTGCCCGTCCAGGAGCACATTCTTGCTCCTTCGACATCTGACACTGCTCATTGGCAGATGTCTGGAGTCCTGTTCCATCTTGGCCCACAGTCTGTATTTTTTCATGCTCTCAATTTTCCCTCATCTGGTAGCTAAAGTCCCAGGGGATCTGGTTTTGGGTCCTTTGTTTACCTGTCAAATCTCTCAGGCTGCCTTTCTTCCCCACACAGGTTTTGCGCAGTGTTGATTATCTGTTTATCTTCTTACTGACCTTCAAACCCCCTCATACCTCTCTTTCCTCTGACTTACTAGCAAGCACTGTCCTGAAACCCCATTTTCAGCAGGTCTCAGCAGGAGACCTTCCCCCTTTAGAAAATTAAGTCCATCAATTTGGGATATTCCCCAGTTCCTCACCAGTACACACCCACAGCGCTCATTTCAGAGGATGGTATGTGCTGTTTCAGTCCAATGTCAAACTGCCCTGCATCCATCATCTCCCTTTGCCTTTCTTAGATTTGAGTCAGCATTTGCCGCCCTCTCTCATTTCATACTATCATTTCATTTCATACTATCCTCTTTCTATCAACAAAGCATGCTCTCTAAAGTAAGACACCTTTGACCCTTCACACCAGCCCAATTCCTGCCCCACCTGAATTCCCTTTTTAAACTTAAATTCCTGAAAGGGTAGTTTAGACAACCTGATCCTCCTTTCTCAGATCCTGTCAGAAGCCACATGCCCGGGAACCTCCCTGTCATTAAGGTAGCACAGTGGCCTGCAGCTAGATGTTCCTACAGGCCACAGATTAACGGTCTCTTGGATGCCCTTGCTAGGTGTCCCACAGCCACAGCAAAAGTCTCGCTACTTCCTACTAAACCTGTGCCTACGGTGTTCCCAATCCCATTTGGGGGCTTCATCAGCATCTAGGGCTTCTGATCGAGACACCAGGGCATTATCCTCAGGGGCTGTCCTTTTCTGATCCCCAATTCCCTTTAATTGCCAAGTCTAGATGATTAACCCTCCTAAATATTTCTCTAATCCTGTGGTTCTCAAATTTTAGCACACATCAGGGTCAGCTGGAGGGTTTGGGAAACAGATTACTAGATGCTACCCTCAGTTTTAGACTCAGGAGGCCTGGGGTGGGACTTGAGAATCTGTATTTCTGATGAGTTTTCAGGTAAGGCTGAAGTTGCTGATGCAGGGACTATGCTTTCTTAAAAAAAAAAAACCAAGAAAAGGGCCTCCCCCGGTGGCTCAGCGGTTGAGCGCTGGGCTGTGAAACTGCCCACAGCCTCTGCAGCGCCAGTTTGATCCCCGGGCACCAGCGAGGGTCCCACATGGCGCGCAGACCTCTCCTGCCGCCCGCTGCTCCCCTTCACAGTGTACTTCATCTGTCTGCCTGTTCGTTCCCTGCTGTCTCTGGTGAATCCTCTCACCCTCTCGCGCTTCTGACTGTACCCAGTGCTTGTATAAATAAATAAATCTTAAAAAAAAACCCACAAAACAAGAAAAGCCTTTATATTTACGTACCAAAACATGTACCCATTTTCGGTGTACAATCCAATAATTTTTCATATATGATCAAGTGTGCAATCATCTTAAAATCAGTTTTAGAACATTCCCATCATTCCAGTAAGATCCTTCATGTAAAAACTGTTAATCCCATTCCTACCCGAACCCCAGGAATCCACTGACCTACTTTGTGTCCCTATAGGTGTATTTTAAAAAAAATTTTGCATAGAAGAACTGGGGTGTAGGCCAGAGGTACGGGGGTGGGAGGACTGAGACAGTAGGGAGCTGAACAGGCGGGCCCACTGAAATACACTGCTGAGGGGAGCAGCGGGCGAGGCAGGGGAGGTCTGCTGCGCCATAGGTGGGTCAGCTCCCGGGCTGGGGATCTGTAGGGCAAGGTAAAAGTATCAGGCTTTTCTGCCCTCCTGCCATTAGGATAGATGAGGGAACCCTGTGGTCCTGCATGCATGCCTGATGGTGGGCACCTGAAGTGAGTGCACCTGGGCTTTTAAGGGCGGTGTCATGGAGACGCCAGCAGAAGCAGGAGAGCAGAGAAGCAGAGAGAATGCAAGACAAAGCTGGAGAGCCCAGAAAGAGTGAAGACTTCTGGGGGCTGGGAGGCCTGCCAGCCTCCCGGCGCCCCCGGCATCCCTACCTGCCATGTACCCGGTAAATCCCAATAAAAGCCTGAAAAACCACTGAGGGCTCTAGGACCCTCTCCTTTACCTGGTCTGCTGGATCAGAAAACCTGCACTGTGTCCCTTCCTGCCCACTGCAGCTATCCACTCAGGTCATTGTAGTGATAGCGCTCAGACTTAACCCTTAGGCCGCCAGGGAGGACCCTATAGGTATATATCATTTTTGATTTTTAATCTAAATGGAATCATAAGTCTTTTGTGTTTGACTTTTTTGACTTAGCATAATGTTTGTGGGGTTCACCCATGCTATGTCAGATGTTTATCATTTCCTTTTGCTGCTGGATAGTAGACCCTTGTGTGCATGCGGGGACTGCCCTTCAGGAATCACCTCCCCCACCCTCAACTCAGCCACCTACCACCTCAATGTCTCCTGCTGTTATTCAGACTCCTATCTCTCTCTCCTGCACAGTTGGTTTTCCTGCCTCTTGTCTGGTTTATCCCTTGCCCTTAGCAGCTTTTTCACATCCAGCAACACTTTCTCCAGATGCAAGTCTGACCTGTCAACTTGCCTGGCTCACTTTTAGTTGCACCTGATGGAATCATTATCCAGGGTGCAGCTATCATTTTTCACCCCGAAGACCTGCCTTCCCCCCATCTCTTTTGCAGCTATCCCAGGGCGAGTAGGTTCACTGTTAGTTCTAGCAATTTGAAGGAGAATTTTGGTAGGCCTTGGCAGGGGAAACAAGCCAGCAGGGAAGACAGCAGCTTGTGCCCCCTCCAAATCTCTATAATGCTCTTTTCTCTGGCGTGCTCTCATAGCCATTGCTGTAGCTGTCTGAGTAATGCCGCCCTTATATCCCTGACCTCTAGGCTCAGGTGTGCATACTTGCACATGCGCACTCACACCCATGCTCAGGTGTCCATAGTCAGGCATGCGTGCCCCGTGCCCCGGCACCTCTATGTTAACAAGATCAAGTCCGCAGGTGATAGCCACAGAGGCCAATGGTGTAAAAAGCTGACCAGCTAAGTTTTCCTCACTCCCCGCCCTGTTTGTAAATCCTTTCCATCCCCAAACATTATGTCAAGTCCCCATCAAGTCCCTAGCTCAGGCCATCTCCTTGACCTGGTGTAAGGGCCAGGACAGGGCACTGAGCAGGTTTTTTGATCTAGCAGACCGGGTGAAGGAGGAGTCCTGGAGCTCTCAGTGGTTTTTGCAGGTCTTTTATTGGGGTTCACCAGGCATACAGTAGGCAGGGATGCTGGGGGGCCGGGTGGCTGGCAGGCCTCCCAGCCCCCAGCAAGTCTTCACTCTATCTGGGCTCTCTAGCATTCTCTGCTTCTCTCTCGGCTTCTGCTGCTTCTTTCTCAGCTTCTCTTTTGGCTTCTGCTGGCGTCCCCGTGACGCTGCCCTTAAAAGCCCAGTCTCAGCCCAGGTGAATCCCATCTACATATGCCCACACCCTACTCCAGGTGCCCGCCATCAGGCATGCATTCAGGACCGCAAGGATTCATCACCTATCCTGATGGCGGGAGGGCAGAAAAGCCTGACATTTTCCTTACCCTACACCTGGGATACCCCTTTGCCTCCTCGCTCCATTTGTGTCACTAACCTCTGCCATCATTTGAGGTTCCTCATGGGGAACTTCATGGGGTCTGTCTTCCCCTAAAGGCCTTCCCCCCATCTCAGGCTGCATTGGGAGCCTCCACACTTCCACAACTCTGTGTGCTCAACTCTGTATTAAAAATATCTGTTTATTTTCTTGATTTGCCCATCAGGCTATGTTAATTGCAGTTGGATGCTCAGCACACAGCCCAGGACCTGCAGATCGCAGGTACTTATTAAATGTCTGTTGAATAACTATAGGCATGAATGGTGGATGTCTTTGCTGAAGTCCTGCTGTCCACCATTACTCACTTAAGCTGTTAATATGCTTGGGCCTTTTTAAAGTCTTTGCACACTAGCAGAATAATGTTCATAGGTAATACATGCAGAAGATTCTAGATAGTATCTAACCAAATACCACCAGGTGCACATCAGAATGTGTCTTCACAAGCAAGGTATGAATGTTGGGCTCTGCTCAGGTGTGTGAGGTGGGACCCAGCCCTAACCCCACAAGTAGCCTGTTTCCTGGTGGAGGCTCTGGAAATCTCATTTTAGATGGTATTTACCAGGAGTTTATGCCTCAGAAACCAGTCTGACCCTACAAGAAATACTCTCTCATGACAGGAGTGTGGATCAATGGTAAAAAAAAAAAACAAAAAAACAACCGGGGCCTCCCTGGTGGCACAAGGGGTTAAGACGCAACCTATGAAGCAATCCACAGCCACTGCAGCATGAGTTCAATCCCCGGCCAGCCAGGGAGCAAACCACATGGCGCAGCAGACCTCTCCTGACTCACCCGCTGCTCCCCTCAGTGTGTATTTCAGTTAGTCTGCCTGTTCTGTTCCCCACTCTGTCTCTGGTGAATTCTTTCACCCTCCACACCTCTGGCCTGTACCCCAGATCTTATATATGCAGAAATAAATAAAATCTTAAAAAAAAAACCCCTATCTTCCGCGAACAGAGCCCCTCCCGCCTTCTCATAATTTCTTACCAACGGCCAGCTGAGGTAGCGTGCATCCCAGCCGCTCGGCGATGGGGGAAAGGTCTTTCAGCTTGTTTTGTTGTTTTCTTCCTTCTTCACTTACAATTCGTTCTTTCAGCCATTGGTAGCACTAGGGGAAGAAGAACATTTACACGTTATATCTGGGAAGGGTTTGGTGCCAACACTGTCATCCACTAAAACAGAAGAACCTTACAGTGAGTTTCTGTGTCTCCTTGACTCTGACCTTTCTGTCTCGGGTGACAAGGATGCCTGTAACTTCTGGCCAAAAAGCATTCCCCCTGGTCTCACCCCTCATTTATTGGTTCAAAATCGTGGCCCTTTTCACCAATGGTCTTTATTCGAATCCATCAATATACACAAAGTTGTTGAGCTCTTGACACATAATAAATTATATCGTGTCCGCTGGATGGAGGAACTAACCGTTCTTATGGTGATAATCCAATTTGGGATTGTGGCAAAAAAGAATATTTACATTTCACCAGGTCTATTATGTTTCCTTTTTGTTAAGAAAGCTGGTGCCAAGCTTTCTGCTCAGAGAAAGCCATTATCTTACATTCTTGTCATAACTTTTTCTCCCTCTTGTCTTCAATTTAGTCCTAGGCTTGTAGCCTTAGAATGGGGCTTTATTGTCCACTTTCTGAGCAACATCCCAAAAGCAGACATGGCATAAATGAAAAGGACCAAGTACATTTTAAATATTTTAAAGTGGATTAAGTCTTTCTCAAATTTGTATGAACTTTTGTGTAAATGATTGAAAAGGTAGGAAATTCAGTGGGAAGCTATTATTTAAAACCTATGTGAAAAGCCTGGCTCTGATCTGTAGACCATAGTGAGACTAATTTCCTAAGTATAAGGAGAAAAATCTGATTGACAAGACTTTCAATGCCCTACTTTCCAGAAGATTCTGCTCTTACTATGAAAAGAGGGAATAATAGATTCTTCCTTGCAAAGGGTGCACTAAGCAGCAACACCCAAAGGAAAAGAGTCTTTGTGAGAATCCTCGTTAGTCTGTTTTAGTGAAAATAATAAAACCACCCCCGTGTGGCAATGTGGACTTTCCATTGTGCACACTGTGCACAGTTGCCTCATTTACTTTCCCCAAGGCCCCAGAAACTCAGTGATGAGCATGCCTCCACCTTAGGATTTCAGTAGGCTGCTGGCTCTTTCGTTTTTTGAGCATTTTTTCATCATTTTAAGACATTATTTCCAGAGAAAAGGGCAACCACACTGTGTTTTTAAAACCTGTGCTATAATTGACCTACCTCTAACACTGCATTACTTTCAGGTGTGCCGAATCATGATTCACTATTTGTATACACCTCTACATCATCACCATGTAAGTCCATCACTTAGTTACAGAACGTTTTGGGTGTGGTGTGTGTGATGAGCACACTGTGTCTTATTTTGATTTGGGGAATGACTTTGCAGTTGTGTAAGAGAAAGGCCCAGCCCCCGTCTGTTTGCTTCTAGATCTAAGTCTCAGAGGCTTAGTCTGGCGTCTCACTTGAGAGTTTGCTCAGGAACCTGGCTGAGAGTTTTGCCAGACTCAGCTCCAGGAAATCCCCGCTGCTTCTGAGAGGAAGGTGGCATGCAGGATCTCTCCAGAGGTGACCCCATGCCAGTGTGAGGACAGTCAGAACGATGAACCTGGTGGTGGGCACAGGTTCCCCAGTCACATGGGGGGACATCCCAGAACCCTTGCCATTCTCAGTGGGAGAAACATCCACTCTTGCTCTAGTTTCAAAACATCTTTCAGGGGATCTGTATCTTTGAATTTTATTCACACAAAAAACCCAAAAAGGTTGAAAACCAATAATCAAATGCTTTTTAAACAATTGCTTTTTAAAAAAATTATAGCTAGGAGAGTTTCTGAGATTTCAATAAAAGCTACACACATAAAGCCTGGTTGATTTTTTTTATGGATGTATAGAACTCCTTTTTTGAAATCTAATGTACAGTGCATTTTTACTTTTATTGAGTTACAAGTCTTGTATATTTTTTTTTGTTTTTTTTTTTTAAGATTTATTTATTTATTTATACAAGCACTGGGTACAGTCAGAAGCACGGGAGGGTGAGAGAATTCACCAGAGCCAGAGCGGGGAGCAGAGCAGGCAGAAGGACTGAAGTACACTGCTGAGGGGAGCAGCGGGCGGCAGGAGAGGTCTGCGCGCCATGTGGGACCCTCCTCTGGTGGCCGGGGAGCAGCCGGGGATCGAACCGGCGCCGCAGAGGCTTCGGGCAGCTTCGCAACCCAGCGCTCAACCGCTGCGCCACCGGGGAGGCCCAAGTCTTGTATATTTTTATGTGTATATAATGTGAGTGTATTTACAAACACAGCACACCATATTGAAAAAGATTACTAAAAGTAACAAACATCAAATATTCATTGAATCCTTCTTGCCCCACTCTCAAAGTTATAAATCTCACTGTTGCTTTAATCATTAGAGAATAAGAAACTTAGATTAAAAAACAGTAGTTGCATAGTATTTACACTGCTTTCCTTGTACTTTTGTAAAGAAACAAAAGTATTTTGGAAATAAAAAGTTTCAACTTCTTTACAAGCCTAAAGAGATGAGTTTAGGGCCTCCCTGGTGGCTCAAGGGGTTAAGACGCAACCTATGAATTTGTCCACAGCAACTGCAGCAGGAGTTCAATCCCCAGGCAGGGAGCTGCCTGCATGGCACAGCAGACCTCTCCTGGCTCACCCGCTGCTCCCCTCAGCAGTGTGTTTCAATCTGCCTGTTCTGTTCCCCACTCTGTCTCTGGTGAATCCTCTCACCTCCCACACTTCTGGCCTGTACCCCTGTTCTTGTATGCATAAATAAATCTTTAAAAAATGAGTTTAATCAAAACAGTAATTAAATATGGAAGTGAACCAGTGTTTCTTGTAAGAAGTTTGGTGGTGGGTGTGATTACGGATAATGATAAACCCAGTTTGCTGACTGTGGGCTGTAGTCCATGAGTCAAGATGGAATTTCCTCTTCCAACCCTATTATGCCACTTAGCCCCTGAGGGGCAGGACAGGCCACAGTGCAGGTTTTCTGATCTCATGCAGACCGGGTAAAGGAGGGGTCAGAGTCCTCAGTGGGTTTTTGCAGGTCTTTTATTGGGGTTCACCAGGCATATGGCAGGTAGGGGTGCTGGGGGCTGGGAGGCTGGCAGGCCCAGCAAATCCTCTATCTGGGCTCTCCGGCGTTCTCTGCTTCTGCTTCTCTTCTTCTCTCTCGGCTTCTTTTTCAGCTTCTGCTGCTACTGGGTGATGGGGTGGCCTGGTGGGCTGGGTGGCTGCATCACCTGCCTCTGGGCCTAGCCTCGTCCCTGTACCAAGTCCACATACCCCCTGCGGTTGCCAGCCAAGTGGGGGTTCTGTGTGGCTGGGCGTTTCTGGCCTAGAGAGCTGGAACTTTGCACATGACATACAGGGTTGTTCCTGCTACAACTGCCCCCCAGCCCTGTCGATCACTCCTGCTGCTGCTGGCGTCCCCATGACGTCGCCCTTAAAAGTCCAGTCTCTCAGCCCAGGTGTACCCACTTCAGGTGACCGCCATCAGGCATGCATTCAGGACTACAGGGTTCCCTCATCTATCCTGATGGCGGGAGGGCAGAAAAGCTTAATACCTTTTACCTTACCCTACAGCCCCCTTCCAGGGCAGCAGTTGGATCACATGCAGGCTTTTCTAACTGAGCAGCTGAAGACAGGTGGCTTCAGGTTTGTCTCAACATCGTCAGTCCTGACTCAGCAGTTCGCACTGAGGAGGGTTCAGTTGATACGGGGATGAGGAAGGTATCTGGGAAGCTGGAGCCAGATTGGGCATGGAATTCCCCATCTTTGATGCCCTACGGCTTTCCTGGCCATCCCATGTGACTCCACAGTACTTGTGGATTCCACCTTTTCTCATAATTCACCCCTTCACCTGCTTGTCTCTCTGACCCATCTTTGAATTACTCCTCAATGACTGACAGTGCATTCCTCCCTATATCTGCAGTGCTCAGCACATAGCTTGAGTAGATACTCAACAATATTTTGCCAAAGGCACAACGGAATGAGATTTTATTCACAGATTAGTGGGTTATCACTTTAATACATGACAAAATTCCCTAAATTTTCCTAAAGCCTATTTCTTCACCATCGCCCAATGCAGTGACCATTATCTACATGTCTCCACTTTACAAGTAACGATACTGGGATGGGAAGATGTGTGGGACTTGCCCTTCGCCCCCGTTGGCTGTTAGTCCTGGACTGGAACTCAGGCAGCAACTATAAAGGCATGGATGAGATCAATGGAGCCTTATCTCTGGACCTTTATCTCTGGATCTTTAGCATCGAAGATCATCAACTATTTTTAAAACATCAAAGCCTTTGACTCAAGAGAGGAGCAAAGTCTTAACTATTGAAGTTGAAATCAATAAATAAAATGCTGTAGCTAAAAACTTTCCTTCTGAAATTATACCTTAATGTGCAACATCCTTAGTTTCTCAGTGTGAACCCCTGGAGAATATGGGCTGCCCTTCTCCCCACCTCTGAGTCACCTCAGTTTGCTTGCTTCCAGTTTGACAGATGAGTGATTTTTGTGATTTTTCTGTAAGGCATTTTGCTAACAACAGCTAAGAGCTACCCACAGATTGAACTGTACTTTCCATTTAAAATTTCTATTTAAAAGCTACACACTTGATTTCTTGAGCAGACTTTTTGCTCTTCTGTTGTGGCGCATCAAATTTATTCATCAAACATTTGTTTACTGGCTATCTGTTATTTGCCTGGCTTTGTGAGGAGTGAGGTGAGTCAGTTTCAGATTCTGTCCTAGACGTTTTCACAAATCATGTGGTAATTTACGAAGAATTTTATAGATGGGGTATCCCCTCAATGATTTTGTCAGCAGCTATGTTTGTATGGCTTCCTTACAAAAAATACCTCAAAAGCTTTGCATGGCATATGCGGATCACAGTCCCTTATCCTTTTGGCCACTGTCACTGGTCTAGCAGGTCAGCACATGGCCCAGTCTTGCCCCCTTATTTCTGGATTGACACTGATAAAGAAAATATCTCTTTCCTCTGGTTATAAGATTTAACAACGAATGTCTGAAGTAACCGTTTCTCCCATTCCTGGTATAAGGAAGAACCACTTGCAGTGGAAGAAAATGACACCCCCATACAGAGAGAAATAGAGGGGAGTCCTGCTTAATTTTCAAATCTAGGGGTGGAGTCACGCTTGGTCACCTCTGCTCCATCTTTCCCAAGGAATGTTGTCTATATGTTTCCCTTTGGTTAAATTAGCTTGCAATTAGAGAAATCTAAAACTCTGTAAGAAATGTTGATGACCTAGTAGGGGGAGGTGCAAATCACTAAGTTGAGAAAGCCCCCCACAGGTGAAGACAAGCAAGCTTTGTCTTTAGAGGTGAGAGGGCTTTCATTGGAGAAGGGAAAGAAGGGCATCCCAGGAGGCAGTGAGGGCACAGTGCATTTTCGATGGAAAATGAAGTAGCATGATATAGGAAAGACAATATCAGAAAAGTAGGTTCAACTTAGATCCCAAGGGATTTCACTGGATGTTTTTCAATGGGGTTGGGTTTTGTCCTGTAAGATTGTGAAGTCATTAAAGGATTTTAAGCAGCTTATGGTAGGGTGAGAGTAATTGAAAGATAATTGGTCACAGTGGCAGGTAGTTGAGAAAAGGGGGGAAGTGGAGCGTCCAGGTGACAGGCTGCTGTAGCAAACCAGGTAGGAAATGATGGCGATCTGAACAGGGCATGCACCATGGAGGGGCAGGATGTGGACTGGAGGATTGGCATCCTGCTGGAGAAGAGAAGGGAGAGGAAGCAGTCTAAATAATGCCACGACTGCTGATGGGCTGGCTAAACGGATGGGTGGAGGCCCCGTTAACTAAGAAGGAAGGGCAGCTCTTGAGATTGCACAGAGTAGGCACTCAGTAAAACCACAAATTTCAATGCTTCCCTACCTCCATTCCTCCTCTCTCTCTTTTTTTTTTTTAAGATTTATTTATTCATACAAGAACTGGGGTACAGGCCAGAGGTGTGGGGGTGAGAGGATTCACCAGAGTCAGAGTAGGGAGCAGAACAGGCCGACTGAGTTAAATACACTGCTGAGGGGAGCAGCGGGCGAGTCAGGAGAGGTCTGCTGCGACATGTGGGTTGTTGCTCCCTGGCTGGGGATTGCTTCAGAGGTTGCATCTGAACCCCTTGCACCACCAGGGACATTCCTCCCCTCTTTACTCTTCTTGTCTTCCTCCTTTTATACTTTCTTCCCTAAAACACTTTTAGTTTTTCTTTGCTGACTTATTAATAATTAGTACAGAACAATCTTCAACTTTCAGATGCAAGACCATAGTTAATATTCTTGGCTATTTATATTTTGCGATAATGTAAATCTAGAAACAGGATCATGTCTGCAGGCTTTGACAGATATTTATATTGTGTTATTTTAAACAATGAAAAAGCTGGCAGGTCAGCCATTATAGGCAGAAGGACAGTGACTGACAGCCGGAGAAGGTCCCAGTTAGGAAAGCACTTGGGGAAGCCATGCTGACTGAAGGGGGGTGGGTTAGACCCAACCTGAGCAGTCCTTCCACTAATTTTGTGCTGATGGAGGCGAGAGACTTCCTCTTGGGGACCTTTGGCTTGCTTTTAATTTTTTAAATGCCTATTTTCTCTCTCCTTTGACATTATAAGAGTAATTTATGATTCTAATGTTCTTATACTCTCTAAAGTTTTTAATAAACAGCCATATTATTAATAAGAAGTGTGTGATGTACTCTCCAATAAATTAATCATCAAGATGTTCTGAATGGAGGTAATTTTATGTCAATGAATTTGGATGTCTTTATGCTTCAGAGAATTTAAGCTACCTGACTCAGCGCCAGCTTTGATCTCTGCAAATGCCAGCTTGAGCCCCTGAGTCCTGCCTCTGAATCTGTTTCCCTAATCCTCCCTCCTTATCCCCACTCCCCACCTCCACATAGTAGAAAACATTAACCAACCTAAAAAAACGTGCTCAGCTATAATCGATTTGCCCCATATGAATTAAACCTCTATGGCTTAAATTTTGTTTTCTAAGAAAAGCAAAATTAGATCCTTTTTACATAGAAAACAAACTTTATATTTCATCAGTGTCAGTGGAGGAATGAAATGCCTTATTTAACAAAAGAATAAAGAGGCTGGTGGGTTCTACCTGGTCGTCAGGTGAGACCCCATTTGCCACCCAAGGGGGTTTTCCTAGCAGCAGATTATGAAGCAGCTGACTGTGTGTCAGAAGCAGGCTTCTGAGGGTTGTGGGGACTGAGGTCAGGCCGAGGTCATGCTCTACTAGGCAGGGAAGCCACAGCTGCAGGGTGTTTTGGCCCATCTTCTCCCTCCCTGTTCCAAGCCTCTCTCACCCCCAGCTGCTCCCCGAGAGGTAGGGAAAAATACCTTCAGTGAAGCTCTGGAACTTTCAGGCACACCATTTCCATATTTTCCTGAGATGATTCCACAGGCAAGGGGAGACCATGTCATTGCTCCAACCCCTGCAGAAGAAAAACCCTTCAAAATTTGTGCAAATGGTAATCAAAAGTGTGGGAGCACTTTCAATAGGATTTGTTAGTTGTGGGAGAAGCTACCTAGGTAAATGAGTGAACATCAGCACACAACCTTCTGTTAAACTGTAGGCATTTATAATTGTGCTTCATTTTTATAAGCCAATCAAACATGCAAAGTTGGTTACAGGGAGGGGGCCATATAAACAAGCCCGAAAATGAAGCTCAGCCATAATTTTCTGAGGTTCCAAATTCTCAGGTTTCTTTTTAACACTTTACTTGCACAGAAAATCAGCACTTTGCTTGTCCACTCAGCCTTACTAGTGCCTGGAACACAGCAGGAACACAATGCCTCTGCAGAGCAAATACACAAAAAGCAATAGCAATAGTAACTATTGCCATTTTTGTTGAATTTTTAATCTTTTTTTCTTACCCAGCATTTTTCTATCACATGAGCCCTATTTTCTTAGCAAAACAGTTATCTCTGAAAGCTAATTTGAGGAATAAGCCTGAAAATAGGCTTATATTTTTCTGATATCCAAAATTCTTGGGTATATGTAGGGTGTGTGTTTGTGTGTGTATAATTTTTTCCTCCAGTCTTTGAAGGTGTTATGTCTCCTTATACTAACATGTAGCGCTTGGCTTGTTAGTGGGTTGTTGAATGCCCCATGTCTGACTCAGTTCTAGGCACAGGAGATATAGATGTGTATATCTATAATTTTTTGGACAGGCAGTTACAATTCAGAGATGTATGCTTTAACTAGAGCAAGCACCCTATGAAAACTGAGTTTATTCATTGGGTCTTCCCCTCATTCTCTGTGCAGTTTTTAAACTCCTACTGAGTTCAATCACAATTTACAACTGCTTGACTCCCATCTGTGATCGCCTGTGAACCAACCACATGCAGGCTCATTGTCTTGTCTAACAGTCTCTGGATGCATAGTTCTTACAATCCTATGTTAATTGGGCACATTTAGAAAAGGACTTCAGTGGCATTTTTTTCCAGATCACTGATCTCACTCCTATTGTTAGAAATAATCAGTAACTCTGAGAGGTTACCTATTTTATGGTAGAGCTCTGGTAGTTGAACCTCCACTTTCTCTCTCTGGAAAAGATGGTACTCAGCTTGCTCACAGACTGGCGGGATCATATTGAACTGTCTTGCTACAGAATAGGCTTCCTAAGGAGAAATAAAATTGCAAATGAATTTACAATGATGAGAAATTAGATTTCTCTGATGTGTATGCATGAGAAATTTTCATTTTGGTGTAATCAATACAAACTGTGAAACATGAAAGATGTCAAACAATAAGCAAAATTATGACCATCAGTTTCATGAAGAGCAGGAAGTCCATTTTATTCTTTGAGCACGTTTGGACTGAGTCCTGGGCAAATTAGTCATGTGCATTGGGACTATTATAAAAGAAAATGTAGTTTGACTAGTTTCCTAAAGAAATCAAACTAATATATAAAAATGATCTGTTATTAGCATGTTATAGAAGTAGTTAAAAAGAAAACTAGAACATTCTTTTCTTCTATCTCATTATCTGGGAAATTTACTTTTACCCTCATGCCACCAAAGAGCATGCTAAAACATCATTCCTATAAAGACGTAAGCCCTCCCTGCTGTATCTCATCAGATGAGATACAGCCCCCACGTCCATCTGCATTATGATGGAATTGATAAGAGAATTCAGTGCCATAGAGATTGCAAGGAAAGTTTGCAAAAGATCTTGCAATTTACACATAGGACCTGAAAAGCCACAATAAAGTACTTAATGGCCATTTAAAAATAAAAGTAGGTTACCATAATCTCCATGGCGCTCCACCGCGAGGTTCCCCAGTACATGGCCATGCCCTGGTTGATCACGTGCGTCATGGCACGCACAATTTCTGTGGAAGGCCAAACAGAGAGGTTTCATGGGTTTCTCTACTTTGCAAGTTAGGTGGTCTTTTTTTTTTTTCTGTCAAAAGTTTACAAGTTTAATACAACTATTTATTCAATCAGTGTAGTTACTTTGACATTGATGACAACAGAATAGTCAAACATGAAATATGGACTTTTTTGGAGGTTGGTAGTACTCTTTGGGTTAAGTTAACTTTCCATTTTCATGTTGCAGCAATAAGGCTAAGTGATATTAAAAACATAATGACCTCTATAAATTGTTCCTTTATTTTTATTGCTTCATGCTTCTTGGTCTGATGAAAGAACATATGATTAATCTCCTTCAGAACCTGGGTAATTTGCCCAATAAAGTGAGAAGTAAGAGAAAGCTCTGGCTTTGACTTTTCAGGACATAATGTTAGCAGGCTAGAGGGCCTGTCTTTGTGTCTGGATTTGCAGAATTGGGCCACACATACACTGACTGCAGAGCAGAGATGACTCAACAATAACTTATTAAATGCAGAACAGAAAGATAAGCTTATTAAATGCAGAACAAACAGCTGAAGCCACAGTGGCTTAAACCCACAGTGGCACACTCTGTCCTTGACCAGATTAAACGAAACTTTATTCCAAGACACCCATGTGATGAATTTCATCAAGGCATGCTCATGGCCCTGTCTGGTTTGCTCATCAGTCTTTTTCAGCTTGACATCACATTTCCTAAACAGGAAAATAAATCCTTTCCCCAGAGGGTGGAGTGGCCAATCCTGTCCCCAGCCAGATGGCATGTGGAATGGAGAGCATGGAGGGCTTGAATAACAGGCACATACAGCAGGATTTCTTCCACACAAAGCAGGTCAACCAAAGATTCAGGATCATTTGATATTTTCAAGGGGATACAGACCGCAGGCTTCCCCATGTCCCACAAATTTTTATAGGTTACATGTCCTCCCAAAGATCAAATCCTATCTCAAGGTGAGTTGAGGTAGGTATATTCTTATTTTTATTTCTCATGAGCAAACACCATCTAAATTGACAGGGACAGGATTTGGAATGAGAATGTCAGGGTTAGGGAGTTAGTGTCCCTGCCTGTTTGACTTATGTATGTCTTTTAATTTGAGGTTAGTTTCTTTTATAGAAAATGGAAATGCGACTCACCCTTGTCTAGCCAACAGACAGAAAATTTAGTTTATAAGCAAAATATTTTTCTTTCTTGGAGAAATACTCCCAAATATCAGATACTATTCAGCAACTTAAATGCCGAAGTTCATTCTCACTTTATAAAATTAGATACAAGAAGTGATAAGAAATGCTTTTCTTTTTATATACAATTGGGAATGTGTACCAATGATAAACATTTCTGGAAGTTGTAGCCATTATTTAAACCCCCGGAAGTATTCTCTTCTCCTTGGATATCTCCATGGTTGTGTCAGCTTCCTTTCCTTTTATATTCTGGTTCACTCAGAGCTGAGGATTTCATTCAGTCAACAGTATTTATTGTGTCTGCTGCTCCGGGTGCCAGGATATTGTGGTGAGTCAAACACTGAGGACGTTAAGAGAACAAATTGCACCCAAGACACTCCCCTCTCTGTTCTGCAGTCAAATATGATGAGCACAGATCATTGACCAGTGGCTCGACCACGTGGAGGTTCCTGAGACCAGGACAGAACAGCTGGCATGCAGAAAAGGTGGTGATTCTTTTTTTTCTTTTTCTTTTTTTTAAAGATTTATTTATTTATTTATTTCTCTATACAAGCACTGGGTACAGTCAGAAGCGCGGGAGGGTGAGAGAATCCACCACAGCAGAGCAGGGAGCAGAACAGGCAGAAGGACTGAAGTACACTGCTGAGGGGAGCAGCGGGTGGCAGGAGAGGTCTGAGCGCCTTTTTTTCTTATTTTTTTTTTTTTAAAGATTTATTCATGCATACAAGAACTGGAATACAGGCCAGAGATGCGGGGGGTGAGAGGATCCACCAGAGACAGAGTGGGGAACAGAACAGGCAGATTAACTGAAATACACTGGTGAGGGGAGCAGTGGGCGAGACAGGAGAGGTCTGCCTTGCCATGTGGGTTGCTCCCTGGCTGGGTATTGAACTCGTGCTGCAGAGGCTGTGGATTGCTTCATAGTGTGGTGCTTAACCCCTTGCGCCACCAGGGAGGCCCAAGAGGTGGTGATTCTTGCACCTTGTTCACTTATTCAATACACATATACTGGAAGTCTCCCTGTGCCAGGCATTGTGCCAATGCAGGGTTCACCTGTGAGTAAAACAGGCATGAAGCTCTTGGCTCAGGGAGTTTAGAACTGAGTGTGAAGATGGAGATGTAACTAAATATTTACAAAATATAAAGCCTTAAAGAGGGAGGGAGGGGGAAAGCTTATTTAGTTAGGTCAAGGGTAATCGTTAAGCAAAACAAATAAAAAGGAGTCATGTGAAGACCAGAGGAAAAACATTCTAGGCAGATGGAACAGCATGTGCAAAGGCCCTTAGGTAAGACAACTTAGTGAGTTCCAGCAAGCAGAAGGAAGCCAGCATGGGCGGAGTCTAGTCAAGAAGGATGACAGGGCACAAGAGGTGGTTCGCACAGTATTCGTATATTATTCAAAGTTTAGTGGGAAGTCATTAACTTTTTTTAGGTAAGAAATGACAGAATGTCATTTAAATTTGGGAATACTTTATGCTATGGCAAATCTGTTGTATCAGAGAGGGCTGGAGAAACAGCCCTCTACCTTTCATTAGAAAGGTACTGAAGTATTTAGGTAGGCATGAGGGTAACTTGGAATAAGGTGGTGGTAATAAAGAGAGGGAAACACAGATGGTTTCAAAATATATCTTGGAGGTAGATTCAACAAGACTTGCGGATTAACTGAATGTGTCAAGTAAGTGAAAGGGACTGAGACCATCTCCCAGGTATCTGGCAATTTGAGGGTATGAAGGAAGAACAGGTTGGGGGTGGAAATCAAGGATTCCTTTTGGACATGCAAAAATTGCAGACACTTGTGAGATACTAAACAGGGAGATGAGTAGAAATTGTAGGGTATGTGATAATAAGCAAATTGTACTGGAGGTGATAAATTTATTGCCAGACTATTAATTGCACTAAATTTCACAGAGTGAATAAAATTCTAAGGGAAGTCTGCAGAGAAAAGAGTTTCTGGGCCTCCCCTGTGGCGCAGCAGGTTGAGTGCAGTGCTGTGAAGCTGTCCACAGCCTCTGCAGCATGGGTTCAATCCCTGGCCGGCCAGGGAGAAACCCACATGGTGCAGCAGACCTCTCCTGCCTTGCCCGCTGCTCCTCTCAGCAGTGTCTTTGGTCAGTCTGCCTGTTCTGCTACCTACTCTGTCTCTGGTGAATGCTCTCACCCTCCCGTGCCTCTGACTGTATACCCCAGTTCTTATATAAATAAATAAATATTTAAAAAACCAAAAAGAAAAGAAAAGAGGTTCTAAGAGCCAGCCCAGGGGTCAGAGAGAGAATAGTGCCAGGGTTGGTCTGCAGATAGATGGCCAGGAAGGAAGCTGAAGGAGGGAATTTCAGAATCAAAAGCAGAGCGTTCTCAAGAAGGAGCTGAGCACTTAAGTTGGAAGAGGACAAAACAGTGTCCACTGATTTTGAACACACGTCAGGAGGTCATTGCAGACCACGAGCTGGGTAGCTTCAGTGTCATTGGTATGAAGAGACCAAGGCCAGACTGGAGATGAGGGGTGGGCAGAGGAAGGAAGACTTCAGAGACAACCGGAGTGGATGACTCAGGTTTGAAGTGTGTCTAGCAGAGACCTCAGGCTGTAGTTGAAGGTTATTAGGGTCAAAGGAGAATTTTATTTAAGGACGGGAGGTGTAAGAGTCAGCCTGCACACCGCAGGGAGTGCCACAGAAAGCGGAAACTATGCTGATGTGGGCCAGGGTTTGGGGAAGAAGCATGGGGTAAAGACTTGATTGAGACGGAGGTGGTCAGAGCACCTGTGGGTGGGGGGGACTTCAACAAGATGGTAGGAATCAGGAAATGCTATTCTCAATGAACTGTGACTCAGTGAACCGGTGAGAGTGAGAAGTGAGGACAAGGTGAGAACCAAGAGTTCTGAGCCCCGAGGCGCCCACTCCAATGCCCAGGTGCTTGAGTTGCTGGTAATTTCTCGTTGAGCAGGATGCAGAAAGAACTGCTCTTGTGGTTATGAAGGCGGGGTGAAATCACAGAGAAGCAGGGGCCTGAAGTCAGGCATTCATGTTGCCACCAAATAAAATGTCATATAATGCATCCTAAATGTGTTCATTTTTTCCCCCTAATATCGGAAGAAATCGCCCTAATTTGTTCCCCTATTTAACAGGAAACGGCTGCACGGATGGCTGAGGTGGGTGTCACACAATTCTATTTAAGGACACTAGAGGGCAGCATTGCTGAAAGAAAAGATGGAGTGAGTCAGAGCTGATGTGTCTCCTGGAAACACTTCGCAAACATACTAGTCAGAACTTGGGTTCTTAGTGGGGAAAGGAACTTAGTGTGGATAATGGCTTAGTGCAATGCATTTATTTGCTCTGGGAAAGGACATGCAGGCAAAGGTGATTAAATCTCATGACCTGGAGCTGAATGTGACTCCCTCTCCCCACTGCCTGGTCTCCTCCTGCTTTTCCAGGAAGTCATAGTTGTAGTTCACAGCCCTGACTGCCCATTAAAACACCCAAAGAACTTTGAAAAAGACATTCTCTGGGCTACACCCAAGTTCCATTTGATCAAAATCCGTGGAGGGTGAGGACCAGCATCAATACTTTAAAAATTCCGTTCCAGATGATTCTAATGTGTGTCTGTGTTGAAAACCACTACACCAATAATTTCAGAAAATGGCCACTGGATCACCCACAGTAGCACCTGGGAACTTGCTAGAAATGCAAACCCTAGGACCTTGCCCCAGACTTACAGAATTACAAATTTGGGAGCAGGGGATGCTTCTCGGTTCTGTGTTTTAACCAGCCCCCTCAAGCAATTTTGGTGCAGATTCAAGTTTGAGAGCCAT